GACCATACAACCACGTACCATCTACTTGGATCATACGTTTGCAAAATGGAAATCCTTCAATACATGCCTTGAATGCCCAAAATAGTCTATGAAATATTTTCTTCCCTGGCAGAAGTTGACCTTCTTCGTCATATGCGGGCATGGTTTGAGACTTCACTATAGTTCCTGGGATAAATCGCTTCATTGCTTGTAGCAAATGTGGTAGCTCATTGTACGATGTATCCCAATCTCCATACGTCAACTTCATTGCCTTCATTTTCGCATTCCACACCTTGCCATATTTTACTTGATATCCAAATTGGCTTCGAATAGATGCAGCTAACACTGAATAAGATATCCTTGGATCCTTTTCAACCATCGCCTTCACGTATTCACATATTACATCGGAGTCCAATAGTCGGTGGTCTTGTTCGATGGAGTTTCGCAAACATGTGTGCGAACCATTGTACCTCGTGATGACCCAAACATCGTGCCTTTGATTTTTCGACACTCTGATCTTCCACTTGCACTCTGGGCCATATTTTACACACTTTGCGTATAGGGTTTTGGTTGGACTCTGCAACATGGACATCAACATGGCATTTGATGCAGTACTCTTTAATAGCCAGCGTAGCTTCATTTTTCCTCTGAATTGCACCCCAACTGAAAATTCACCAGAATTATCGAATGATTCAGTCATTTGGTACGGAGGTAAATGTGGCATGTCTGGGAATTCAGGTGCCCTCATTGCATCATAATCTATCTCGTACATGTGAGGAGTAGCTTCATACGGTGTCGGAACTTCATCAATTGCACCTCCACCAAAAATATTTTCGTCGCCACCCAAAACGGGTTCTTCAGTTTCTTCATCTTCGCTTGAATCATCATGAATTTCTCCCCATCGATTTTCAGCGTCAATATCAACAACCAATTCCGGTATGTTTCTCGTCTCATACTCTGTTGTTGTAGATGTCCCCCCGACTTCATTTACACTTTCCAATAGTGCCATAAAACTGTTCGGGAACCTGTATGTCGGCTCCTCAAACTGACTATATAAAGCCATTTCAGATGGATTTTGAGCCACACCTCTTGATGACCAGGAACATCACATATGTTACGCACATCAACAAATAATTCAATAACTGCTATATTGGTTGACTCATGTAATCCAACCATGGTTCCAATATCATCATCTTCTTCAAGTGGAACTGCAGCATATCTGACTGGGTTAGAGCATATCATAAACCTATACCTCAAACCATCCACTGCAGCTCGAATTTTTCTTTCTATCTTATGCTTCATTTCTATAAATGTGATGTCTTTTTTGAACATCATATTTATTGGTTTTTCAGACTGAAAAACTACTCCGACCTCATTTTCCATAATCTGTCCATTATAATGGACAATCGTGAAAAGTTGTTGCTCATTTTCTCTACAAATAAAAAATAAATTAATTTAGATTAAAAATTAGATAAGATAATTTCATAAATTATTAAATATAATATAATATTATATTAATGATCAAATAAAAGTTATTATTTAACTTGATTGATTGCTTACTAATAAACCTAATAATGATTTGATAATTACTATTAATCTAATGATTTGATATTTAATGATTTAATAATAATATGATTTAGTCATAATCACTAATAATTATTTATAAATATTTAATGATTAGATTTGATACTAATCATTTAGTAATTATTACTAATAATAATGATTAGTTTGATAATATTTTTTTTATAAATATCAAACAAATTTGTTAGGCAAAACTGTCGAGATAATGTTCTCGAAATAATTATTTCGCGAGATAATGCGTTGTCCGGATTATTTCATTCAATTAATTTTACTTCTTACTAATATACACATACAATGTAAATTAAACAAAATATTTTTAAAACAACACTAAATATTTTTAAACACAATATTTTTTAAAACGGAAATTATCTCGCACAAATTAGTTTATATAATCTAATATAAACTTACTAACTAACTAATTTACACATACACAACAAAAAAATGGACAACAAAAAATAATAAATTACTCACGTCTTTATGCCTTCTTCCTTACTTTCTTTTCCTGCCTTGTTTCTTTCTTCGAATCAATCTGTACGTGGGCAAATATTGTAAAATAATGTCATGTATGTGTAAACAAAATATTTATTTAAACAACAATAGCTCCCACAAATTAATTTATATAATCTAATATATTATAATATACCTTAAACTAATAAACTATTTCTTTATTATAATAACTTAGTTAAATAACAAACTAATTAAGCACTAATTAATTTTTTTATAATATAACTTCAACTTCAACGAACAACCTAATATACGTTTAAAGACACTAACAAATTAATTAATATTTTTTATTTTAATAACTTAAACTAAGAAACTAATTAACTAATTTTTATATAATATAATATATAACTTAAACTAATAAACTAATATATAACTTAAACTAACAAACTAATAATTTATACTAACAAACTAATTAACTAGATTTTAGTTTTAAGCTAAACCCGAAACTAACAAACTAATAATTTCATATAATAAACTAAATTAAACAATAAAAAAATTACCTCAACTATGTTTGAGCATTTATCTTCTTTTCTTCTTCTTCCTTTTATTTCTCTCGGCAAAATTTATATGTGCTGGTTCTGCTTGTGCTTCTACCCTATACCCCATATCCTTTATATAAAGCAACTGAGCGTTAACTATTGAGCATTGAAAGGCTCACAACTAAATTAACGCTGCAATAACGTAATTATAGATGCAACACATACAGCTACAGGTGCAGGAATCTCTGAGCTATGAGCTATGATGCAACGCATGCATGCAGCTACAGCTACAGCTACAGGACCTTGGTCGCCGAGACTCCATGGCGACCTACCTACCACCGTGACCTACACCGTTCGCCGTGCATATCCATGCACAGTTCCCACGTCCAATGCACCATCCCCTCCCCCATGCATTCATCCCCTCCCCCATGCATTCCCACATCCCATGTTGATCCCTCCCCCATGCATTCCCACCCATGCATCCCCTCCCCCATGCATTCCCACGTCCCATGTTGATTGCATGGCGACCTATTCCTTTGTAATACACACAGGTCGCCCGGATGCCATGGCGACCTTCAAGGTCGCCCGGATGCCATGGCGACCTCCAAGGTCGCCCGGATGCCATGGCGACCTCCAAGGTCGCCCGGATGCCATGGCGACCTCCAAGGTCGCCCGGATGCCATGGCGACCTCCAAGACCACTGTATAATTCACCCCATTCCAGCAATTAATCTGGGATGTGCACCATATCATGAAAAAAAAAATCGAGAACATTATCTCGTGAATTCACCCGAATATATCTAACCTGAATATAAAAAATATAGAAAGTGATAAGTAAACTAACAATAAAATGTATTTATTATGTGAATATATAAATTACTATACAAAATTAAAAAAATACTCTCTCAATCTATAACTTTATATTCTAAGCTCATTTACTCTATACCTCCTCTACATAACCAATGACCACAATCTCTTATTTAAATCAAAGTGTAAATAAGATGAAAATCGTTGTATTTCCATTTCTCCATCAACATGTCTTAAAATCAATTGAAAATAAAGATTATATATGAATTATTATTTATATTCCTTTTGAACAATTTTTATTTAAGGAAGGGAGAGGGGAAGAGAAATTTTGCTCTGATAGGTATTGAACACACAAACTTAAAAAGAAGAAAAATATCAATTGAGAGCTTTTAACCACTTGCTCTATAAAATATCCTGTAATATTATAATTTTATGTTATAATTTTGATTGGAATAGCATCTACTAGACGCATTACAAGAGTCACAACCAAACAGATGAACTTAACCGAATAAATTGGAAGTATTGTGCAAAATTAGCTTATAAAGGAAGGTCCCAAGATTTGCAAAAGCGTGTACCCATGGTGAATTCCAAAAATTGCAGGCATCTTGGGCTAATACACAAACAAAAGGACAATGGGAAAAATACATATTAGTAGTATATGTATAACCAGAAAAAGGAAACTAGTGTTATGATATTCTCTTAGTAGAGGATCTAGTTTGATTAAACTTTTGATAAGTTCGATTCAATTTGATTCGGTTCGGTTCAATTGATTCAGATTCTTATTCTTACAAAGTAAAATAAACTAAAAAGAGGTTAGAGTTTATGCTTTGAGATTTCATGATGTTTAAATCAACAAAAACTACGGTGAAATAAAGAAGGAAGCATAGGGTTAAGCATGTATGGATGTTGAATTGTGACATGTCATAGCACTGGACCATTAATTTCGTTAGCATAACATAATTAAATTCACAATATGAGACAAACGAGTGATTTTAAGTTGGGAGTATAAATTTATAAAGTTTTAAAAGAAAATAGATTATAAATAAAAAAATATTTAAATTATATACAAATTTAAATATTTTAGGAAGATAACTATTATGTTAATCCTCTCTGTCTATTGGCAACAGTACCTCAATTTCATATTAATTGAAAGTGGCATGTTTGTCTAGTTTTCATGAAGAAAAGTCCTTTTCTCGTGGCATTATGACATTGTAAATGGCAGAGAATGGACGAGGGTTGTATAACAATATGGCAAAAAGGTACAAATACCCACCGCTTCTTCAAATCATAAATATTCAAGAAAGAAGAAAATCCTAAATATTATATTAATTTTATTAAATATATATTTTAAAACAATTTATAAATTAACATAATTAAACCAAATATATCTTATTAATCCTTTTTACGTGAATCATGTAGGATTAATTTGATATTCTCTTTTCTCTTGTCCAATGGTTACTCCAGTCCGCACTATCTTGCACCGTGCTATCTTGTCCAATGGCTACCCCACCCCGACTACGGTGAATCAACGGCTTATTAGAGAGAAACAAGTGAGTAAATCAGTGTGAGAAAACATAAAATGTTGTAGTACAAACGTAAATGAAAAAGGGAACTGAGTTCAGAAACAAGGAACTCATCGAGTCAGAGTTTAATGACTAGTCAAAGCTGTAGCAGCTTTTGTCGTCTCTCTGTTGAGCTTCTCCCAACATCTAAGTCCACCCCAGACAATCTTTCTCTCAAACCTCACCGATCTTCCGACTTTGCTTACTTCACTATCCGATCTGTCACCTTCGCCCGCAAAATCGGTCTCACTTTCCGTGATTTCCGACTGATACGCAACATAGGTTCCGGTGACATCGAGACTGTCTACCTCTTTCGGCTGGCTAACATTGATGAAAACTGTTTTTCTGTTGTGATGAAGGTGGTGGATCAGGAAGCGTTGGTGATGAAGAAAAAAGTGCAACGTGCTGAGATGGAGAAGAAGATCTTGAAGATGATGGATCATCCATTTTTGCCTACTTTGTACGTTAAGTTTGAAGCTTCTAATTTCTCATGTATAGTTATGGAGTACTGTTCAGGGGGTGATTTTCAATCTCTTAGACACGAGCAACCTCGAAAATGCTTCTCTTTTAACTCCACTAGGTACACTTTCTTCCATAAATAGGTTTTTGAAGCTCTAACCAGGGTTTTAAAAACGGTCCGCGACCGCAATTTCGACCGTGATATAGTGATTTCGTCGCTGTCTGAGTTACCCGCGGTGGCTGCAATAGCTTCCGCGACGGCCGCAATAGCGCCGCGACGGCCGCAATCACGATAAATCCGAAATAACTGAAAACGCGACCGCGATCGCGATTTGAAACACCGACTCTAACTACATTGACTTCACAGTGATATTACTGCATGCTTTAATCTGGACAACTTTTTTCATTAATTGCCATGCAGACAGCATTAAAGATTTGGTTTTGTCATTGATTTTTTTTCGTGTTTAGTAGCTGACAACATTTAATCATTAAAAAAAGATGAATCTCCTCTCTGTTTGCATGATTTCATTTGAAAAAATTGAAGTAAATAATAATAATAATATTGTTTTTAACAGGTTTGATTGATGCTAGAGTATCTTCTCATGCTGGGAATTATTTATAGAGACCTCAAATTTCAACGTTTCACTTTGCTTTGACACGATCCCAACCGTTGAATCACCGTCGTCTTCTCCGGACCCAATGCCGCCACAGAACCTTTTTAATGCCCGTACTATCTTACATTCTCGTGCTATCGGTCATTGAAGTTGTGTTGGCATAGATACTCTTGTCACCGCTATTTGCAAGGTCGGGACAAGATCCAACAATGCCTTCGGACACCGAGGTTGGTGAGCAGCAAATGGGTGGGGAAGATGAGGGACGGTGGAGAATGAGAAATATACAAAAATATTATTAATTAGTTTAAAAACTAATAAAGAAGGCCATGTCATAACAGAATTAGAGATAAAACGGTTGAGTGTTTAATTAAAGTTAAATGACCAAAATAATAAATATAATAAAATTTACTGATGATTAGTGTAATTTACCCTGTTTATTAAAATTTTGGGAAAGGGTCGTACTCTATAATTGTCATCCTCTATTATATACCACAATGGCCCTTGCTTTGACAAAGTATTCCCACGCGCTCTCAACTTCCTTGGGGGCTATCAGCTCCAATTTATATATTGAGGGGTTGTTTGTTTGTTTTTTAATAAAATTATTTAGTGTTAAATGTTGAACCGTATTTATTTCATACATCTGAATGATTCAGTGTTAACTGATTCAACAAAATGCTGCTGAATGATTTAGCACAAAAGTACATTCTGAATAATTCAGAACTATTATCAAATAACATGTCACATTCAGAGCTAATTCATACAGAGCCTCCGAATCATTCAGTATTTGAATCATTCAACGCTTAATCATTTTAAAATAAACAAACAACCCATTAATCTCTCCCACACGCTCTGTAACTGAGACTGTAATGCCGATTAAATTCCAAATTTACCCTAGCAGGAACTTACATCCTGGCAATGGTAATGTTGGTCTCCGCCAGTTTTGCTCTGTTTGTTGACTGTCAATTGGTGTCGTTTTGATAAATATATATATATTTTGTAAATATAAAGAAAAAACTATAGTACGGAATTTTAACGGGAAACCTATTCCGAATTTTCACACATAACATATCGATTCTGTTACAACAGTTCTTACCAAATAAAAACTTTTAAAAAATATTATTTTAAACACCAATTGTGAAATAAACAAATTTAATGAGTTATAAATTATAATGTTCTTATTCTCAACTCTTTGATTCGACCAGTTGTGCCAGTAAAGTACAAACGTAATTACTCGAACTTATGACATATAAGAAAAATAACCTTTATTTTTATCATTCAATGAGTTCATATTTCGAATGATTTAATAACATAAACGTGAAACAAATTTCAAATAAATTGCCTATATTATTCAATACATATCTAGAGGCAATAATAAATTTTCCCAATTCAAACTCTGTTGTTACTAACTAATTTTTCGATAAGGCATGACTATCATTGTAGTTTTCCTTATATAAAAGGATGCAAACACAAGATTGATTCTATATGCCAAATTGAAAACTCAACATATATGATAGATATAAGCAACGAAACTATTCAATAAAATTCCATAAATTTCACATTCCTGCAATCCAAAAGATGACGTGTCATCATTTTAATCGTTGGATTAATACATTAATAATAAAAGTAAAAGAACAAATCACCAAAAAAAAAAACTAAATCATATAGAAAATACATATATAACAAAAGTCCTATAACAATCAATAAAAAAAAAATAGATTTTCAATAAATTCTCAAAAGATTCGATATAATTAGGTATTGGTAGCGTTTACTATAACCAAAATATAGTTGGTAGGACAATTAAACTCAAGATCTATCGTATCAAATCATAAAAGATAAAATATTATAAATATATAAACGTATTTGAATAAGGGTATGAAGATTGTCTAGAATATTTTAATATTTCAATAAGATAAATTTTCTCTTAACGTAAAACTTTATGAAAATGCAAGATAACACATTCTTGGGGATCAATACCTCTCTATATATATAGCTTATTATAGAATCATTTTTGAAGAATTTATAATTTTGTTCCTCGTCAAATTATAAATATAACTAATATATACACTTTGTTTCTATGACACTTTAATACCTATGACACAAATAATATAATGACCACTTGATTTTAATCACACTTTATAATCTTTATACATTTTATACGTATCCACAATTATAGATTTAATCCAACACATATGGTTAAAACTCGATTCAATTATTTTTAATCTTCTTACAATCAAATTAGAGAGTAACTTTTAATGACCAGAATAATGACTAAGCTGATAAAACGACTTTACTTATATGATATTAATTATGGCATTTGTTTTTCTTTGGCACCAATAATTTCGATCAAAAAAGAATTGATACAAGTTTCGCTACCATATTATTAATATCTTAGTTAACTATCAAATTATCAGTTTCATTTTAGTTTTGTTTACTTCTGATCATTAGTTTTGAAAAAGTTATATTTCAGTCACTTATATTATCAAATAATTAAATTTTAATCACTTACGTTGTTAATTTATTAAATTTTAGACACTTACATTATCAACTATTACATTTTGGTCAATGAGTTGTTGACTCCTACCATTTTGATGATGTGGCACATTAGTAAAAAGGCTAATTTTTATTTGACCCCTAAAATTTAGATATAATGCTAATTTGATTCGAACTTTAGATAAAATATCATTTTAACTCTAAACTTTAGATAAAATATCAACTTTACTCATAAATGCAACCAAAACCTTCCGCCACCGGCCATTGAGCATTGTCTTTTTAGTTCACTCCTTTTGTTATTCTGAATGTGAATCTATTGTTTGTTTCTCTGAAAAATATCCCATAAGATTCACTCCTTTAACATGGAATCATAATAATAAAATTTTCTTGACATTTATTTAAAAATAACAACACTAAAAGTTTAAATCTATATTATAATCAAATTCACACTCTTCTGTTTATAATGTATGTTGTAATGTTTATTATGTTTATAATATTTGTTATACTTCTAATTATTGTTATACTTATAATATTAATTAAAAAAAATTATTTTTAAACTAACAATATCATTCATACTCTTTTATATTTCACTTGTATATTTAATTAGATACTATCAATAAAAAGTGCTCGATATTTTGATAAAAGTAAATTAAAAATTTCAACTCTTTGGATATGAGTCAAGTTTATAATTGAGAATTAATTTACTTTATGTTATATATTTTAAATTAATTTGGGGTAATTATAAGATAATGTTAAAAAATAACTTTCAACATCTCAATATTAAACGCTCACACCCCTATCAATATGTTCAAATATAACTCTCAAACTTTATTTATTTTTTAATTAAAAACTATTTCTTTACATACATACTAAAATATAAACATTACACAATATATATCAATACATATAAAAGTATATAAATATTAAAAGTTGTCACGTCTTTAATAATTATAAATATCAAAAAAATTGTTATGCTTATAATATTAATTATATTTTAATATTTACAAATTATATTATTATTATTTTTTATAAATTTTTAATATTTAAACTAACAATATTATTCAGATTTATATTTTGGTAAAATTAAATATAAATTAAAAATTTAAGCTATTGAGATTTGAGCCCGATAGCAAAATCAATACAAAGTTTTACTACTATAATTAATCTACCATCCCATTCTTAATTAATCTACAAATTAATTAATTAACTTATAATATTAAATTACTTTTCTACCCTTTGTGCTTCACGCCATTGGAAAAACACATGCTGTGTGTCTTTCGGTTAAACCCGGTCCACCCTGTTGGCTTTTGATCCACGTCATCACGCGATGGTTGGACCCAGTAAAAACCCTAAATTCACGCACATGCACCCCAAATTAACCCCCAAGCCTAAACCCAAATCTACGATCCCGATCCACTGTCTCTTGCCTTCCACGTGTACCCAACTCCCTCATCCCCACCGTTCACGCCAGGTCATCCGGGCATCCTTCAGGTCACCTTCCAAACCTCTAACAACCCTTCGATCAATAAAAGGATTTTATCCAACGGTTATTATATTGCTCGAAACTCAACCGGGCAGATCTCATCGCCTTTAAGAACCGAACCTAGCCTTCCCAAGTTCCTCGCTCAACAAAGGCTGAGATCCCAAACCAAGCCTTTACGTTTAATAATTTTATTTTTCTGCAGAAGAAAATATTTTCCAGGATTTTTCGTTTTAAATTCCTGGTTACACTGTTTAAGTTGGCGCGTGGGGGCTATTCCAGTGGCGCGTGTCAGTAACGCTATTCGCTTAATGGTTTTATTCTGTCGATCCGAATCGGGAATCCCTTGCCGGAACTCTACCGGCTCCCGATAATTTAATGGCATCTGTCGTGTTAGCGAATCGGAGCGATTCAAATTGACCATCGCAGCCGAAAGGCGGTGTCAATAAATTCATGGGCAAGGTTCCCTTCACAGGAACAAAACCAAACCCTAACCCTAAATTCAACAAGAAGCGTAAGTTCCACCATCATTTGGCCCCACCAGATGACGGTACCGGACTTGTTGTTGATGGCTCTCCTGCCGTGACCCACTCTGCAGCTTCCGACGATGCGTCATCAATTAATCGGAAGCGAAATGATTTCAATTACGGCGCTTACGTTACCTTCCGCATCAGCTCTTATTCGAAGAAGGAGTTGATTGATCTAAAAAATCAGTTGGTTGCCGAGTTGGAGCAGATTCGTGAATTGAGGAATCAAATCGAGTCAAATGATTTTCACGTTAGATCTAGCTCCAACAAGAAAGCATTACCCAAGAAGAACATTTCTGGGAGCAAACGGCCTTTCCCCTCAAATTTCAGCAAAGAATTGAAGAGATTGAACCCCCAAGAGAACGGAAAAGCATCAACGGCATATTTGATGAAAAGTTGTTCCCAAATATTGAACAAATTGATGAAGAATAAGCACGGGTACGTCTTCAATTCGCCAGTGGATGTGGTTGGAATGGGTCTCCATGATTATTATGATATAATCAAGAAACCGATGGATCTGGGAACGGTGAAATCGAGGATGGCAAAGAATTTTTATGGGTCTCCATCGGAATTCGCGGCGGATGTAAGGCTCACTTTCAATAACGCCATGTTGTATAACCCTAAGGGGCACGAGGTCTATATGTTGGCTGAGCAATTGCTTGTGAAATTCGAGGAGCTGTTCCAGCCGCTGAGCTTGAAATTGGAGGAGCAATATGAGCCACACGAAAGGGGTTATGATGAGGAAGAGTTGCAGGCGAGTTCTTGGGATCATGGTGAAGCCGATAGGTTGAAGAAAGATGGGGAAAGGGAGGTTGAGAGGATATTAGTTGATAGAGAAGGTTCCGCAAGTTTTGTTGCAAGATCTGATAGAATTGGAGGGGTTTCGGGCTTTATTTCAAACCCAAATCCACCTCCTCAGAAGCAATTGCAGGCGCCACACAGGGTCCCATCACCAGTAAGGCCACCGCCGGTGAAGCCATTGAAGCAGCCGAAGCCAAAGGCCAAGGATCCAAACAAGAGGGAAATGAGCATGGAGGAGAAGCAAAAGTTGGGGTTGGGATTGCAGAACTTACCGCAGGAGAAGATGGATAATGTAGTTCAGATTATAAGGAAAAGGAATGGGCATTTGACGCAGGATGGGGATGAGATTGAACTTGATATTGAAGCAATGGATACGGAGACGCTGTGGGAGTTGGACCGGTTTGTTACCAATTACAAGAAGATGGTCAGCAAGATTAAGCGGCAGGCATTGATGGCGAACAATGCAGTATCTAATGACAGCCATCGGGTAAGCACATTGTGATTGCTTGATGGGTACGAATGATTTTTACTTTATTGTATGATTTCCATGAATTTATGGGTTTTCTGATCGGAAAATGTAGGAAGAGGCAACCATAGAGAGAATGGAGGTTCCAATGGAGATGAAGAAGCCAAAGAAAGGTGATGCTGGGGAGGAAGATGTAGATATTGGTGATGAAATTCCAATGAGCAGTTTCCCACCTGTAGAGATTGAGAAGGACAATGATCGGGCTAGTGGGAGTTCTAGCAGCTCCAGCAGTTCGAGTAGTGATTCGTCATCTTCAAGCGGTATGTATCCTACCTGGTCCTGAAATTTTACAATGATTGTTCCCCCATAAAGGAAAAAGGAAATGAATTATTATCTTGTAATGTTGCTTATGCAGATTCTGATTCTGGGAGTTCTTCAGGAAGTGATTCGGATGCCGATGATGCCCGGTCTTAGAAGGCTATTAGATATTGAAGCTGTGAAGTGAGATTTTGGGGGCAATCAAGGAGGAGTCGGTTGGGGTGTAGATGAGGTTAGACTTTGCTAACATTTGCTAACAAACTGAAAAATCAGATGTGGATTCCAGCAGTCTTAAATGCTGCTGAAGACCTGAGCCTTTCTATTTGGTGGGTGTACAGTACAGGTTGGCGGTGGCGTTCTTTTAATTGCTGTGTGGATTATAATGGTTGCTTTCTTGGAGGAAAGAAATTGATGAAATTTGGGGAGCACCTTGGGCAAGAAGGTTGAAGGGGGAATTTGCTGTGAAAAGAGTTAGATAGATAGGTCGGTAGGGGGAGGGAAAATACTTTTGTATTGGCATCAACGCTTGATTTTCGGTATCATAAATAGAGGCAAAGTTACAAATTGAATCCATGTTTTGGCCTTTGTTATTTGGTTGAGCATCAAAGATTGAAGATAATAACCTAAACGGATTTTGATGAGACGGCAACTGCCACCTCAGAAGCTAAAAGCTGATGGAAAAACCATAATTGCAAGGTCCCCAACGCATACCGGAACTGAGAATTAAAAGAATTCTACGCAACCTGAAATAATAAAATTTTATCATGAAAAATGACTTGAATTTGGTCTCAACAAATGCCAAGATAAAGGCAAAATCATCCACGAATGGAACAATGGCCTCGACTCCTGAGATGAAAGCTGTTTATGTTGTACATGAAATCATGAATACCCATGGAGACGTTATCTGATTGGACGGTACTACCATTTCGTTGACACAGTTACAAAGCTTTGAAAATGCTGATAGTATCCTGAAATTCAATTTTTTTATTAATTGTTCATTTTACTAGTAATAATAACCTTAAAATTTTATTTATATTCATAAAAAAAAATCTATTGCACTATAAAAATATATTTCTATATCTGCCGCTGGATAGTATCATCCGTAGGGTATTCGTATTTTCATCACCCAATTTCCGACATGCGTATATAGTTCACAATACTTCTAATATAAAGAAAAGGAATGCTAAACAAAATCCCTCAATAGTTTCTTGGGTAAAATTAAGCCTGGATGTCAACGCATAAACCATGTGATGACTTATATAAAAAAGCAAAAAGGAACCAAAAACTAATCGACAATTTTAGAATCTCACCTCTGGAAGGCTTCAACAACGATCAAAAGATACCCTTTTCAAGCCATACCGGTGGTTGCAGTGACAATAGTTGGCTTCTGTGAGAACAAGCACCATAGGAAAGGCAGTGCCAAATTCAGGTTTCCTGGGCAAGTTGTTTCCACAAATATCGGTTATCAGATAGTCGGCTATCATTTAATATTCTTCAACTTCAGAAAAAACAGGACCGAGTTGAGACTCGCAAGCAGAAAGGGTGTCGGGTCCCAAACATTTCAGAAAAGCCTTGGTTAGGTCTAGTGATGTTATCATCTGGAAGATCTTATCACAACATTTATGGACTTCAGTTTTTCTGGACTTCTTTTCAGGCATTTTTTTCACCAAGGTCTCTATAAGTCGACCAAGACTTTGCAGATGGCTTTTCAGAAATTTCTTTGCTGCCTCCCGGTTGCTTTCGTCAGAATTCATGGGAACCTGCGACTTCAATACTTCAATCACCAAATCAAGAGCCTCAACCCGTCGAAAGTCTGACTTCGCGTTGCCACAGTTTTCTAACAGGAAGCCGAAGAGTTGATGACCAATCCTACGGTTTCTTTTAAATATTTCTTTCAAAACCCAGATTTTATTTGAGACTTTTTACTGTCAAAGTAGCCCTCTAGAATAATCCGTAAGAGATCAAAAACCCCCTGTAACTCGGCATCTGAGAAATTTCTTGCTTCAATGATCTTCAATATCCAGTATGTTGAATTCTGAGCAAGCGAAACAACCATTTTGTATCTGTTCAAAGAGGCTGTCAGCTTCTTCTTCGATAGGGTGCTTGCGGATTTCTTTCTCTTGAATGGCTTTGATGCCAGCTTCAAGTTTTTCTCCAACAGAGATTCAAGAGTAGACAGCAGCATCGATTCATCCTTGGGCAATTTCTTTTCTTTGAATACCTTCCTTTGAATAATTCCCCATATACGCTGTCCGAGTTGTTCACTGCCTTCTGTATGTGGATTAACAAATGCCTGAGCCAAGTGCGAGTATACTGTCAGGACCTGGGGCTTACCTGAATTGGAAAGATCATAAGCACACACTTCTTAAGCATTGTACATAAGTTGCATAGTAAAAAATAAACACTTTCTCAATGAAGTTCGGATCACAAAAATTAACATTTTTAAGCTCACACAATACTAAAAAATAGATAAAATCAATAGGAAATGCCACATAATGATGGCAGCAAATAGTCATCATAATAGGTGGCATGTTATAGTTCATGAAAGGTAAAGCAATAACACTTGCCTCGATTTTCATGCAAGTAAATTTCCAGAAGTGAAAGAACTCTTAGTTTGAACAGGACAAGTTGAGACTGAGCAGTTTCACCACCTGCCTGATTCCTTTTCTCTTTAAAGATCTGCGCAAGGTAAGTGTCCATGCGGAACATAGCATCATCATCCATTCCTCCATCAGACTCATCAGATTCTTCAGGAAGATCTTTATCATCCCCCTCACCACCAATTACTGTCTCGGAGTCTTCTGATTGTTCGTCACTGTCAGCTGTTTCACCAGTCTCAGCTTCATCTATATCTTCATCTTCTTCAATACCAAGAAGGTCGTCGTCGTCATCTTCACTGCCTGCTTCCTGATGTCTAGCAGGTTTCAGGTCTTTCTTAATTATCCGCAACATCCTCAGCAGTCCGTCATCAGTAACATCACCACAGAAATATCTGAAAACCTATAAATAATACATGCCAAATAAAATATAAGTGATTTGTGTAAAGACACCTATAGTAAGAAATATGGAAAACAAATCCGGGTTGCTCTAATGAAATGAAGGTGCATGGATGATCTTCGACATCACATAAAATTGACTACTCAAGTTATTGTTGCACACCTGCTCAATAGCAGAACAAATAGGAGCCGATGATTGTGGCAACAAGGAAAGTAAAGTATCCACAAGAACATCCATCAATTCTGGTGCTGCGTCACCCCATGATTCATCTTCTCCAGATGAATCAAGATCTTCAGAAGCTGCAAAAGCTTTCTTACAACATACAATAAGCTCAGAGGCTGCATCGCAGAATTCCCCAGGTCGGAGGAGCACTTGGAGTAGCAATAGGATGAGCAAGTACCTCAACGCATGCAATTTATTTGCATCATTGCTGAGCCTGCAGTTCCTTTCCTGTCATTATTTAAGCATTTAGAAACTGCATATAGTTGCAAGAGTGCATTGCAAAAAAAGTTCATAACTAAAGTTACAAATTAATAAACACGCTAGATTAACAGTTCAAGAAGCATTCCTATTGTTTCACAAGGATAAGCCAGTGTCCTTCACATCAATAAACCATGAAGAGTGCTAAAATATATTTAAAATGGAGTTAGACCACTTACCCTAACCGATGCAAGCCACCACAAGAAGAAAGGTAAAGGAAATAATACAAATTATTTGAGAACTTGGATTTATAAAAGAAAACATCCTCAAAATCAGGAACACGTCAAAAGCATTTATTATTGATAGTAAAGGATGAGATCAAGCTTACCTCTTTATAAAGTTTACTCTCCATTTCTAGCAATTTTGTGACCGACTGTTTGTCCTCGTCCCTCAAATTTCGAAATAAAGAAACTGATGGAATGTTGCGTAATGTGCTAAAGAACCGCATGAAGTAGGAACCAAGGTCATTTGGCTCAAGTGCATTAGCCAAATATCGTGGCTCTTCAACCTTTTGAGCACTTGCCAGCAGTGATTGAAGTTGTTTGATGCACATTTTGCAAAGGGCTGTTGAGGTGATTGCTTTCGGCCATCTAAATTTCTCCTGTAATTCAAATGAAGTAACTTCATTACCAAGAGATGCAGAGAATAGACCTTGAACAGATAGAAACTTCAATATTTCCCTTTGCACTCGGAATTTTGCTTCAGGGTCCAACTTTAAATGCTTCAGAACACTGGGAAGTGATTCTATGACCCAGCCTTTCAGAAAATCAGCATTCCCCAAAATTCCAACAGAATCCTTGTCCTCAATTGAGCCTATCTCCGAATTATCATCTGTTGTCTGACTCTGATCTGAAGGTTCCTCAGAAGCATGACCTTCATCCAAAAACAAGTTAACTAAGTTCTGAACAAACAGCATGCAACCAGTCTCTGTTTTGAACTCGGCCATCGAATCTTTGACCGTTTTTGTCTTTGTAATGCAATCAAATTTTCCACTGCTGTGCTTCTGAAAGGCAACAATAACAGCCACTCGTCTGACATCGTCATTCCTAACCCACTCTAATAATTCTTTAAGAAAATGCAAACCAACTTTATACAGCCAGGAATCTTTTGTGGAAAGTATATCCATCAAGCACTGAACAACTTTGGAGGAGACAACAATTGGTATAAAAGAAGATGGTAATCTAGGCAGGAGAAGAAGCAGAATATCAAACGCCAAGTGTTTACGATCATGAGATGACAGGAGGAGGGACCTACCAATAACTACGTCACAGAACGATTGCACATTATTTGCAATTTCTTCTTCAGAAGAGCTAGACTTGCGACCCTTTTTGTGTTTTTTTAAGGAATTAGAAGCAGATGCTGCATCTTCAGCCTGAAGAACAGTATCAGGAAGGAGTAAATTTACCAGAACAGGCCACAAACTATGGACCCGAGGTTGACAAAATGTGGATTCCTGCAATATTACAGACCAAAAAAACTTCAGAACATATTTAAACTTCATTTTTCTCAATATCAGTGCATAGATGCATAAAAAATTACCTTCAAGCAGTTAGTAATAGAGGATAAATAATCAGCAGAGAAAAGTTTGCTTGGGCTGAATGGATGTGGCAAAAGTTTGCTGAATTTGCTGTCAATGGGTGTTTTTTCATTAATTTTTAAAGCTAACAGCAAAGCATCAGGATTTCCTACATCAACAGCTTCTTCAAACCACTGAGGAACTCCAGAAGCTTCAAGAATATGACCCAACAATGCTTCAGCAGGTAGCTGCAACATATAGAAGTGTTACATAAAGACCGAAGCATTTACTTAACACAATAAACACATTCATAAATTGCAATTTTAGTGGTATCAAACTGACATGAATTTTGACAAGACATGCATAAAAATGAGAATACTTGGTACTGCGAGCATGAGGATTGCTAACCAACATATGTATACAGTTATTTGAAGTTATAAAGATAAAATAAATGAACTAGTAAAAGAATAAAAAAACAAAATCAAGGACATTACAAGCACTTGTCACATCATCCAATCAATCACCACATAGTATTAATATTGACATAAAAATAAATTAATAAACTGTTGACATTTAAATAGACAAAATATTAAGTTAGCATAGATTCAGATTTATTACAGTTCCCTCACATTGTGGCAGAAAAAAGTAGGAACATTATGAAGAAAAAATCCTCACTTTATCAGAAAATACCTTTTCAACAATTTCTAAAATGATGGAAACTGAAGCCTCCTGCAAATATCGTTTTTTGGAAGCAAGGGAGACAAGGGCACTCATAAATTCCTTGATGATATGAGTATCTTTATTAGAAAACCACTCTTTAGTGAGTCTGTCAGATCGGGAAATAGCACCATATGCAAATAAGCGACCCAGAAGGCAATCTCTTACTTCCTATAAAATAGAAGCTAGTTATTGACTGTTACTGAGTAGATGAAAACCTGAAATGTATGGGGAAAAGCAAGCCTACCTGACCCTTAATCGATGACGAGACCTCCAACAAATTAACTATAAGTTTCAACAAGGAGTCCACTTTGATGCTAGGAATTGTGGCCACCAAAGCAGTCAAACCCAAAGCAAAACCTTGTCGTACACACTGCAAAACAAGTTGAAAAACATGTATAAGAAACAAGCCAATTTAAGTTTTTTTATGGATGGTCAAGTGTGTTCTGCAAGATCACAAGTATACTTCTGGTGCCACATGTCAAACTAGATTCAAAATATAACCTAGGTAACATAAGCACATTTAAGTAATTAAGTTGATTGCTCCAAGTGCCCTAGGTAAAGAAGTTTCCAACTACTTTATTTTTCATACAAGGGTAAAGCAAAGCATCAAAATGCAAATTGAAAAAAATAGGACAGCTATGACTTCCACAGTGAAATGCAAAATGTAAAGTTATAAAACCTGAAGAAGCAGCTACATGAATTCATTCGAGACAAAGAATAAAGGTGGCATATCAAACCTCTCTTGACGAAGAAACACCGCGTATCAACCTCCGCACAGCATATCGCAAAGACGATGCACAGTTATCCAAGCCATCATCCTTTTGAGCTTCCAGTTTCAAACCACCCTCAACCAAGTCCTTATTCTCAAGCCTATCATATGCCTTCTGAACCTCCTGCAACTCTGTCACCATTGTTTCCACTGCTGCTTCTCTCACTGAAGAATCTGCCGAGGCCAAGTCCTTAAAAACACTGATATGAAACTCAGGCAAAATACTAGTAGATGAAGAGGCCACAGGTTCCGGGGCATCATTTCCTTTCGATTCAACAATCAGTTGTTTTGGCTGAGGTTCCTCAGTTTCTAAAATGGAACGCCGCCTCTCCTTGTCTATCTGTTTCCTCTTCTTTTTCCTCTCCATCGGTTTAATGGAATCAGCAACAGAAGATGATGAAGCAACCCCGTCCCCCATCTCGGCATCTTTTCTGTTACCCATCTTAATTTTCTTACCGGAAGACACGGAAACAGTATCATCCATAGCTAAATCAGTTTGACCCTCAAGAACTTCCACCTCAGATTTAGTACTTCTTTTCTTGCTACCCATTAAGAATACAATATCTGAAAACCGTCTACAATAATAACCATGCATCAAAATCAATTTTCCCAGCAAAAACGAATCAAAACATAAAAAATAGTCAAAGATATAACCTTTATAAGTGACAATGCTATAAGCGGATTAAATTTTAACGATTAAACCATGAAATTTCAATACCCTAAAACTTCTACCGAAAATTATAACAAACATATACAGACAAATTAAAAGCAAGAGGAGTTACTGATCAGTTTTCAAAGCTGCTTGTCAAAGAAAGGTTGAGCTTAATAAGAGCTTCCAAGGTTTTAGAGAAAGAGAGGCACAGAGAGCTGTTAACGATTGGGGACTCTTTTAGGGTTTTATTAATTTATGAGAATAAAAACACTAATTTGGGAATTTTTTAGGGTTTAATGCGTTTAGTAATTGCAACCCTACAAAATGGTCGATTCTCCGCTTCGCGTTGGGAGCTCTTTTCCTAAAAGAACATCTATTTTTTTTAAAATATATTTTAAAATGTTACTATTTTAACTTTATATGTATTTTTTTTCAAAATTTAATTATTAATTTTTAGAGCAAATAGTAGAAGATTATTGAGTTCAATACTTATTAGGAGTAAGATTTTTTTTACTCCTCCTTTAAGTGATAATTGTTAAAAAAAAAGAAATCTCAAATTTAATGTTAATTCGAATCAAAGTTTTTCGTAAGTGCATCATAGGTTTTATTAATAAAAAATTTTACAGTGTACGCCGCATACTAAAACACACAACTTATGTAATATACTGAAACATATCACTAACAAAATTATCTTTATCAGGTAAATATTAAAATGGTAAATTATACGTTTAATACATAAATTATCAATTTTATTTCGTTTCAGTATCTATTTTTTTTCTAAAACAATATCTAACGTTCAATTTAAATTTTAATTTGATATCATGTCATTAAAATTTAACGGCAATACTGATGTGACATGACAAGTTAATTTTATTATTTTTTTTAATTTTCACATCACCATTCTCTTTCACTTTAGTATTTTTTAATAAATTTTATTCAACCAATTAGGTGATAACATGTATCACCACCTATGAGGATAAAATAAAAGAAATCATTTTGAGACACTTGCATGAGATGCAAGACACTCATCCGTTGAGCTAAGTTAGTCATTTAGGTTAATTTCACACATTTTATATTTAACTTATATAATGATATCACCACAAAATAAATATTTGCCGATGATTATAAGATTCAAATCTAAAATATTTTAAATTAAAAATCAAAAGTTTAACCACTCAATTATAGTGTGAATCTCTTTTTATTATACTGAATTTAATACTTACTTATATTATTATTAAATTAAATGACTAATTTATTTAATTTTTAAAATCATATTATTTATTTATGATTTATAATATTATAATATTTATTTAAAATTAAATAGAAATAAGTATTAAGTTAAGTATAATAAAAAATAAATAAATATTTTAGAAGTTATATAATAATATTTTAAATAAATAAAAAATATGATTTTAGAAATTATATAATTTTTAAAAATATTATAATTATAAATTTTTAGAATGATTTAATATAAATTTTATAAAAATATATTAATTGTTTAATTATTTTTTATGTCTAAATAAAGTTAAATTTTAGTCTTTTAATTTAACAATGATATAACTAAGTATTAAGTTTAGTATAAAAAAATTCACTATAATTGAGTGACTAAGTTTTCGATAATTAATTTAAAGTGTCTCATATTCAAATTTTATAATCATCGAAAAATATTTATTTTGTTGTGATACTGGTATATAAGTTAAATACAACTTGTTGTGAAATTAACTTAAATGATTAGCTTAGCTCAATTGTTGAGTGTCTTGCATCTTATGCTAGTACCTCATGTTCAATTCATGCTAAGAGCAATTACCATTAAGTTTTTAACGATGAGGTATCAAATTGAAACTTAAACTAAATATTAAGCATGATTTTGAAAAAAATAAAGTTTAGGTACTTAACATGTATTTTATCCTTTTAATATTTATTTAATAAAGATAATTTAATTAATGGTTTATTTCGGTCTGTTGTATTAGTATTGTATTTCAGTATCCGACGTTCGACTCATCCTTTTATGAAATATAATTTTATTAATTTATAATAAAATTAATATAGAATAAAAAATTATTTGATATATAATTGGATAAAAGTTATTCCACTCATAGTGTTGTCACTTAAAATTTTAATAGTTTTAAATTATTTACAAAAAAAATTCATCTTCAAAAATTTAGAATTATAATATTTTCTATTTAAATGTAACCTACCATTAAATCATTAAAAAATACTAATGGTTTTTTTACTTTTAATTGGTATAATAATAATATTACTATAAAATATTTATATATTTTATTAATTCAATCTTAATTTTAAAGGTAAAATATATAAATGGTTATTGAAATTTGAGTAAGGTTTTTTTCTTATGGATATTTCAAAAGTAACGACTTGGTCACTGACATTATCGATTTATAATAAATCAGACTCTCGAGAAATTGATACCATTAAAATACAAAAGTAAGTTTTTTATTATTAAGAATCAACACTGACAATTTTTTTTTATACAAAATTCAGATTTCCATGAACTTAAAGTATCCAAAATTCATTGGAAAAGAAAGATAAAAATACAACAGGTAAGTATATACAGAAGAAGAGTTGAGCCGAATCCTTATAGAGTTTTGCAGTTAATAAACTTATTGGGTTATTTATGTGACAGAAGAGAAATGATATGATATCCCCACTCAGTCAAAGAATAAAAAACAGGGTTTCAGGCAGTAAATTTTAATACAATGCCAGATTAAATATCGGTTAAAATTGGTGTCTGTGTGATTAAATGATGTAAGTTGGTTTTGGTTTAATGTGTCACATCAGTATTTTATTATTCCAATAACAATTGTTAACGGCCGAGTGATCGATTAACATCGAAATTTAATAATTAGATTTTTTTTATCAGTAAAGGTGATTCAAGGTAATGTAGTATCTGTTTAGAATGTTTCTTGATCATTAACAATGCACATACACCCTACAGACACAGTTATTTGAATCCAAAATCTCTAGAGAGAACTTTAATTACTGATGCCATTTGTTGGGTTCAATTTTTTGCTTTCTAGCTAAGGATAAAGAGAATTTTTTTATAAATTTTAAATATAATCTTAATAAGTTTAGGAGAAAATGTATTATATGGGGAAAAAAAGGAGTGCTTTTAATGAGTCTATAACTCATAACTTAAGTTAATATGAAGGAATAAAGATGAACAGTTTAACCAACTAACTAAATGTACTTACTCTAAGTTAGGGAATTAAATGATAAGAAAACAATATTCAAAATCTCGTTGAAATTTGTTCAACATATTATTCAAGTGTTGAGAAAAAAAATTTACTATAAGATTACAATACTAATTCACAAAACATCAAATACACAAAGGAAGAATTGCAATGGTAAGTCACAATTACCATTAAATTGACCAGCCTTGTAAAAAACACGTTTCTGTACGGTTTAATTTAGAACAAAAATCACATTTGCAATGAAAGAAAATCACAACAGATCCGGTCATCAAATCCTCAGGCAACACCCTCTTTCTTGGATTCCAACGTTCCTCCACAGAAACGATCTCCTGTTATGTGATAAACTCCGTCTCGGAGCTTGCTTCTTATACCAGGCCGTCACTCGCGTACAGAGGGCGGGGAAAAGGAAGCACAGCAGTACCAACACCAGCATCGCTACGCTAAGAACCATGACGTTGAGGAAACCGTCTTTTACTTCCGGCTCATTTTGCATGGTCCATGGAACTCCACCCACATTCATTCCAAACACTGAAAATATTCAACATGTACGTGGAAGAATTACATCTCTTATGGTATCATGGAAGGAATATAGATAAAAATAGATGTATTAGTATTACCTCCGGTGATGATTGATAAAGGGAGGAATATGATGGAAAGCAAAGAGAGATAGTAGAGTTTTTTGTTAATTTGTTCCGACTGCCAGGTATCCAAACCGGCCTGAATTGCAGTGACGCGGTTCGCCAGAAACCCGACGTTCTCTTTCAGCCTCCTCAACCGTTCGATCATCACTTCCAGGGAGTTGATGTCTTGACCTAAAAACCATGGTTTGGAAGAACATTTTTCCTTGACTCGGGGAAATACTTGTTCCCCGTGTGCAATCACCTAGAATTTGGAGAGAAACAGATATGAGCAGACGGTTATTATTATTCATTGCACATCCAATAAACCGAAACTCGAAATCGATGTATTACCTGCAGGAGGCGTTGCAAATTTAGATGCATTTTAGGGAATCGTCTATCGTCTAGCATCTCCATCTTTAAATCAAATCCACCTGAGATTAAAGCACATCTTCATTTACAGATAACTTCATTCCCAAGTAATATATCAGTCCATAGCACTGTGAGCAGTGAGCTATGAACCAATTTTAACATGCAAGGAATCAGATAAGGGGCTGAACAGATTCTGGTATATGAAATTTACCTCCATCCAACTCAAGCTCTACTGCATCCAGCTCCATCTCGAGTTTCGTAACAACATCCTGAAGGTGATCGACGTGCGTGTCGATGATGTGAACTACAAGGTTTGAGATGGATTTCGGAACAGGATTATCAGCCTCCTCGGAGTGATTCATTGTTAATAAGAACTCTAGGACATGTTCTTTAATTACAATCTCACTCCCCGCCCTCTCTCTTCTTCGGTTAGAAGAATTTTCGACACTCGGAATCTGCGAGAGAAGAGACTGACTGACCGGTGAGAAGCCTAATCTGGGAACACGTCCCAAAGACACGGTAATCACTGAATTCTCAGTAATCCTTGCAGCAATTCTAAATGTAAAACTACTGGAGGCAGGGCCAGGTGAATTAACCCGAAAGACAAGTGCTCCGTCGACATGTCCGCAAAACGGACCATTGCTAACGAGCGAGAGAATGTCTTGGAGCTTTAAAGGCGGACAAAGAACATCTATAAGGTATTGAGCGGATAGAGAACATTTCTGTTTCACTTTCGGAAGTTCTACATGGTACCAACAAAACTCCTTGCCTTCAGCTTCAGCAAGATCCCAGTCCTTGTTAAGACAATTTCCGAGACCGTCGAAAAAATAGGCTTTCTGTCTGGCCATGCCGAGGAAATGTGTCGGGATTTGAGTGTCGGAGACGGGAAGAACAGTAGCAAAGGACTGTCTAACCAATCCCACAGTTTCTCCATCTCCAGATGGTTCTTCGTCAGCTAAATCCATAACTTGCATTCAATTATCTTTTGGCCAATGAAGTTTAACAACAACAACAACCCCACATCATTAGTATTAGATTAAAGGGAAGTTGAAAAAAGAACAAACGAATAAATAAATAAAATCTGCCAATGCTAATCACAATTCTGCTTTAGACGTGATTAGTATAGGCAAATTGTATAAGAATATGACGTAAATTTCTGGGATTGGAAGGAGAGAAAGATTGACACCAAGAAGAAATGAAAAGCGGGAAATATAAAGATGAATTCTGAGGTGAAAAAACAGGGGACAGAGCTATCTTCATGGGGAAGTGAATGATTGATTGAGCTCTTGCTTTTATTATCTTCTTCTAGTTTTAGACTTTCATGTGTGAAGTCCATTTGTTTTGACCCAATAATAAAAGGGGAAAATACTTAAAATTGATTGAGAATGAAGCCTGAAGATTTGCGATGGCCAAAAACAAAGAATGAGAGACTGAGAAAGAGAGGTTTGGAACCGAAAGATTTTGCATATGCGGCCACCTGTTCCTTCTTGAGTTTCATAGTTTATTGTTATAATGGGAAATATAAATTATAAGTCTAATAAAATCTTTATATATATATATATATATATGCTAATTTTATATATATATTTTTGGATAAGTTAAATTTTTATTATCCAACGAAGGTCACAATACAAAGCATCCAAAACAAAGATCAATCAAGCTAATTACAACAAAAGAATGATTATCCTATACCCCAATTAGTACTAAGTTGCGTATTAACAAAATCAAGACTGTTAATAACTTTATTCCTAAGTTGAGCACTAACAATCTCTTTAATGGAATAAAGCAAATTATCAATGGTTCTAACACGTCCTTGGAATAAACGTCTATTTCTTTCTTCCCAAACGTAGTAAATGAAGGAACACCAGACAATCTTCAATATGGTTGTAAGGAGAGATTTTCCTTTCCAAGTCGAAGATGCCCAAGCAAGAAAAGAATCCCAAGACATAAGAGGCTTGTCCAAGAGAGAAAGATTTAGAATTCTATTCCAAAGAGCAGCAACCATATCACAATCATTAAACAAGTGATTTCTCATTTCAAGGGCATCATTGCATAAAATGCAAGAGCCAACGGTTGTAATTCCCATTCGAGTAAGTCTTTCTCTGGTAGGAAGTCGATCCAAGACTGCAAGCCAAGTAATGATGCTGAATTTGGGAATATGAAGGGGATACCAGACAATCTTGTGCCAGAAAACCTTTCCATATTTGATTCGTAACTCTTCCCAAATGCTTTTAGAAGTAGAAACTCTTAAATTAAAAATTGGAATGGCCTCAGATCTGAGTTTCAAAAGCTTGTTAAAGCAGTAGCTATAAGAGGCATTATTCAACATCTGTGAGAAGTCTTTGGATTTAATCGCGTAAGTGTAAATACAGGAAATCCAAAGCGCTCCTTCACCAGCTAGGAGAGAACAAATAAGTTGTATCATGCATACCTTATTCTATGTTTTAAGATCTTTTAATCCCATCCCACCTTTAGATTTAGGACAACATATGTTATTCCAGCTTACTCTAGCTCGTGAAGCAGTAGCATCAGTACCTTTCCATAAAAACCGAGAACATAGCTGATTAATTATGTTAATAACAGCTTGAGGGAGTAAAAACTGTCTACACCAGAAGTTGGCAAAACTTTGGAGAACAGTTTTAACAAGTTCTAATCTTCCTGCATAGCTGAGATGCTTTCCAGACCATAGGTGAATTTTTTATATGATTTTTTCAATAAGAGAAGAGCAGTCAGTAGCATTAAGTTTCCTGGTGACAAGGGGAACACCAAGATATCTGACTGGAAGGAGACCATGCTTGAAACCAGTAGATATTAAGATAAATTCAAGATTTCTTGTTGAAATACCAACAACAAATAGATCAGATTTGGCTACATTAAGCTAAAGCCCAAATATTTCATAAAATTTATGCAGAACAGTGGTAACTCCAATAACTGATTCCAAATTTTCTTTACAGAAAAGAAGAAGATCATCTGCAAATGTTAAATGAGTAAGACCAATTTGTTTACATTTTGGATGGTACCTGAAAATACCTATGGCAGTAGTAGTATTGAGGATTTTTGAAAGAATATTCATAGCTAGAACAAACAAGATGGGTGATAAAGGATTACCTTGCCTTAAACCTCTTTCACCTTTGAAGTAACCAACTAATGAGCCATAAAGAGAGATTGAATATCTAGCTTCAGTGAATCAAGTTTCAGTACAGGCAATGAACTTAGGAGGCAGATTGATGGCTTTGAGAATAGAAGAAATGAAGCCCCAATGAATAGAGTCAAAAGCTTTCTGAAGGTCAATCTTGATAGCACATCTTGGTGAAATGTTTTTCCTTCCATATCCTTTAACAAGCTCTTATGCAAGAAGAGTATTGTCAATTATATTTCTACCCTTGACAAAAGCTGACTGGTTAAGAGTTATGATTTCAGGCAGTAGGTTGGTCAGCCTCTTAACAAGAATTTTGGTAATAGATTTATAGATAACTGAACAACAAGAGATAGGCCTATAATCCTTTACCTTGCTAGGATTAGTAATTTTAGGAACCAAGGCAATTATAGTTGAGTTAAAAGCTGACAGAATGTATGTAACACCCCCAATCCGTACCCAACCCGAATACGAGTATGAGATGTCACATTGACTTTTCAAACTTTGACTCTTGACAAAATTCAAAGAAAATTTAAATCTTTCATTAAAGTAAAAGCGGTTAAGTTACATAAATTGACCACAATACCCAAAATCAATCAGATCATAATTAATTCAACCAATTAGTACATGCCAACTATACTCAAAATAACCAAAAACATTTAAATCCTCTATTTTCTGATCTGAAATTTTGTAAGGGAGGTGCTGACCTGTCTAACTCTTCTTCTATTCTCTTCTCGCTTCTGTAACCTACGTATGAAACAATCACACGCTAAGTCGATGACTTAGTGAGGCATAAAAAAACATATATAATGAAATTCATACCCACTAATCATGCATGACTGTTTTATGCTATCAAATCATATAGCTCATTTACATATACATCAACATATATATGCACTTGTACCATGTCACGAGAAACACATATATCATTATATCAAAACATACATATTTATGTACAATCATTTCTATTATTATCAATTTGTACATTAGTCCTTATAATTTTATACTCTTATCCATAATATCCTTAATTATCACATCATAGCACATATATCAGTTCACAACGAAATAAACATATAATCTTACCAAGTTTATTTATCTTATTATTTTTATTAGCCCATGAACACATGTGAGAACTATAGATATGTGAGTCTATAGAGGTTGTGCACTAATGTTGTCACCACAGCTCGTATAAATACACCGAAGTGCCACGTAGAATTGCACCGTAGTGTCGCGTAGAAATGCACCGAAGTGCCACATAGAATTGCACCGTAGTGCCGCGTAGAAATGCACCGAAGTGCCATATAATAATGTCCATAAGGACAACATATCATTCTTTAATAATCATATACATACACTAGGGATCAAGTATGTGTCTCACAAGACTTCACACATGTTCCAAAGAATATATATATATCCCGAAGGACCGCATAGACCCTCGACTCTTGGCATGCCAACTATATCCCTAGCTCTCATGACGCATAACATGGGCATTATCATTTATGTCATTTCACATGTTCACATATTCATATTACCTGGGCACGTAGTCTCATAGTTTTTGAACATAGCTCAATATCACATTTTCATATAATCACATAGTCACATAGTTCACTTACACGTAGATCATTTCCATATAATTCACATGTTACATATCTCAGGTTCTTGTATTCATATAACATATAGTCACATAGTTTACTTTCATATTTATATGTTCTCATATAGTTTCTATCATTTCTCACACAAGCACATTTATTCATGTTTAGTATTTCATCTAAACCGTATAATAATGACATATACTCATATCACCGAATAACTTCACCTGAATATATCTTTTGTTCATTTCAATGCTTAAATCATATAACACATAAGTTTTCCTTATGTCATTTATGATACTTATTCATATAATCTTATGTTATCTCCTAGGTAAATGCTACCTAACTTATCTCATTTTCCATTTATACCAGTTTAATCTATTTATTTAGTTAAATTTTACTTAAATCCTATACCATAATTCTCTTTAAATATACTTCTTCTCTATAACACTTATCTTATAGTTTGACATCATCATTTATACTCAATTCCCTTCACTAATATATTATTCTCATATTACTCTATAGTCTAATCTTATTTAACTCATCACCATTCTCCTGTAGTCATATAAATCTATTATATTGATTCTTATAATTGATCACATTTACTATGTAACATGTATGGTCACCTATCATATAACCTATTTCACATTCTCATGTAATCATATAGATCATTCATATTAATTCTTATAACTTATCACACTGCATGCATTCACACAAATCATTTAATACATACTATAATATATATATCACATATACCCAAATCAAATATATGCATATGATCATACATTCAGGCCTTCTAATATAGGAAATAGACTTGTGGCAAGTCTTATTTCTGTTAAACATCATAAACTAACTTGTATGCACTCACCTGGCCTCACTAGTCAATTCTAATCTCTTATCTTTCCCCTTGATCGATCTTACTTGTCAATGATTCCGAAACTTGATTAGGCTCTAAATCTACATAATTATACATTTTAAGACAATTATTAGATACCTATACCTTGTAATTTGATACTAACAACTTAAACGAACTTATTAAACCAATATTCACAATTTTCCTTTAGGGGGAATCGGTTCCCTACTATGGGGGTATCGATTCCCTCATGACATTCTGGAAATTTTTGTTCGTTTGAAGGGGTATCGGTTCCCCTTGAATGGGTACCGATTCCCCTTGCCCAGAAATCATATTTTTAGCTCGAAAATCACTTCATTTTTAGCTCAACGCTTCATACTCCACTCCCTTTAATATTCCTAACTTTCATACACATACTTAAACTCATTTCTACTCCATAATC